TAAAATTTGTAAGCTCACAAATAACTTCAGCTGCAGTATCGCGTCTGACTGTATTGAACGCGTTTCGGAAGTCTATCTTCAAGAAAGCAGTGTCATTGCGTGCGTCGGCCATTGCTGCGTGAACGGCTGCTTCGCATCAGTTGCGCGTTCCGGTCCCTAATTAGAAAAGTTCAAATTGGTGCAACAGTCGAGGTGTTTTCGATTTCGAGATACAACTCCCGGCAGGTTCTCAGCGTATTTCCGATCGAATGGATGCCTACTTCTGGCTTTTTGTGAATCTTGTAAGGAGTGTCAACAGTCTGCAACCGGCTTCGTTTGCGTCGCGTGAGGTTTCGAGACACAACTCCCGGCAAGTTCTCAGCGTAATACCGATCGAATGGATGCCTACTTCTGGCTTTTTGTGAATCTTGTAAGGAGTGTCAACAGTCTGCAACCGGCTTCGTTTGCGTCGCGTGAGGTGGCGTCATGAAGATGTTGCGCCCTTAGGCGGCCCGGTCCAGCATTTGTTCCAGTTGCAAACGACCGGATGCATTCAAGAACAAACTGAGTTGACACTCGGATTGGTTCAGGATTGCGCGACGGGAAGGGCCGCCTGTCGATCGGTGCTGGTGACTGTTTAGCTTTGCGAGCTTCTCAGCATTCTCGAGAGTCGGTGCAATAATACCATCACTAGTCGCTATTGGTAGTGCACCTTTGATGTCTCTCTCACTTACTGTCTCCTATACCAACGTAGCAATGTCTCCTTTCTTGTTTGTCTGTCGATTGGCTCCACGTCCTTGATCTTATCAATGTGTTCAGCCTAGATAAAAGCAGCAGTCTGCTTCTTGACCATTGAGGTGAGATTTCCCTGATGTGCAGAGCCTCCTCTTGGCAGGGCTTTGAGACACGTGGTGAAGACTATCAGCAGCTTAGCCCACGCGAATTTGTCTGCGGGATCCGAATGTACTTTGTCGAGATACTCAGTCAGGGCTGTTACCACTGACGGTCGAGCAGCTTTCGGAATGTACTTCAGAATCCTCGGCTGGTCACCTTTGAACAGCTTTGCGAAGTCATCGCCCGAGAAGGCGCATATAACCTGCGCACCCGTTGCGTGAGCTGGCGCTGATGCCTTCCCTGCACACCGATTTCCCACAGAGCCATGAGACCGGAGCGTACTATCGGAGAGGATGGCAACCGAGCGGTGGCAGACGGGACACTTCCATCTCTTCTTGTCAAATTGTTCTTGGGTGGCATATTCATCATGAATGTTCATACCAGCAAAGTCTTGGGTGAGTATTGAGCTTTCAGCCCCCAGCATAGCATCATGGTTATCCTGGTCATGAATATCAAGGATCGCCATCCGCTGCGTGAGGCCTGTATGGGAGGCCTGACCATTGGATGATAGGGCATCCTAAGCACTTTGCGCAGATGAAGGTGTCCGACCATTGCCTGGAGCTTTTCAGCACCGAGCAGGAAACGTGTTGTTGCGAGGTCAAGTGCACCTCGGGTTAGCACATGGGTTGCGATCAGAACGGTGTCAATAGAATGAATATGGCAGTCGTGGGGGGGGGGGGATCCAGTCCAGGCGCGCGATATGACGAGGTCCCAGAGTTAACCAGAAGTATATGGGGCTCACTAACTGCTAGCCCCTCCACAGAAAAACACTCTGAAACTATTTAATAAGTTTATCACAACAGTTAGGCTAAATACAATTAGTTGCACTGCTCGAGGTTTTTATCCAGGTTGAACACATATAAGCCCAAGGACAATAAACGGGGATTCAATCGACAGACAAACAGGAAAGGAGACATTGCTCCGTTGGTATGCGAGAAAGTAACTGAGGGAGACATCAAGCGTGCACTACGAATAGCTTCAGATAATATTAATTCTACTTATCTTCATCCGAATTTGTTATAGATTGCTGGTCCAATTGCTGGTCATATACTTTTTTTCGTTTATAATATCTGAATGAATGTAATTATACTGAAGATGCTCATCTTGATCGTCAAAGTTTCAAAAAGGCAAAAAAATCGAATCTTATTTACCTGCTCGAGATCAACAAACTTGCCCAAACATTGGAGTTAGCAGTGCACAGTTTTATTTCTTCAAATTTATTATAGGACGTCTCAAATATGAAAGTATTCTAGCTTTGAGATAGTAAATTTGCGTCGAGATTGCAACCGAGTTTTCAAAATTGCGCGTGAGCTGTTTTCACAAGCGTTTTGCAATACATTTTTTTTCAGAGCAAAAAACTGAAAAAAAAACTATAAAAAAAGGAAAATCAAAATGCAAAAGAGCTATTTTGAGTAAATTTTAGCTTGAAGGCCAGAGTTTGAAAAACGCTTCCAAAAGCTATAGGTTGTTCGAACTTTTTTATTTCTAACTTTTGTGACCTTTTTCATGTTTCTCAGACAACCCTGTATAATTTTGAACTAATTATGGACTTAGAAGTCCGAATGATTTCAAAAAAGGTGTTTGAATTATATTATTTGCTTTTTGTTCTAATTTTTGTAACAAAACTAACGGAATATTTGTGCTCGGTGTAGGTTTTTTTCAAACAATTTTAGACTTTTTAAATGGCCATTTGTGACGGAAGTTTTTGTGTCTTTCAGAAGATATTGTTGTATGTAGCTTAAATTTGAAAATACAATTCACCTAGGATCATTTTTTGTAAATTTATGGAGGTTTAAATATTGCCGTTCTGGCTAATTTGAGACAATCAAAGTGCGACACTTTTCGTGCTACTAACGCGTAAGCGGAGACTTAATCAGTCTTCGAATTTGTTCCGCATTGACTGAAGGACGCTGGTCTGTCGTAATTGATCTGTTACAAGGAGCGAAATCTATCACTTTGTGATTTAAATTACTTCAAATTTAGAATAAAAAATCGTTAAATTTTCTTACATTTAAATTTTCTATGTTAATACTGCTCCATAAACCTTAAAAGGCAGTCGGAACATTCACGTTTCCGCCCTGATACGAGCAGCCTTGTTTTCTATTTGAATTTATCCTGTTCAAACAATAGACCATTTATTGTATGTTGCTAGACCAGTAAGCTCATAAAATTGTTTTCTCGCAGTTTGCACAACTTGGCTAGTTTCGTTAAAAGATAGTTGATAAAATTTTTGGTCAGCGTCACCTCACGAGCTAAAATAAATCTAAAAACGCCAAAAAAAAATTCGCGTTTATTTTTGTCAATTATTTGTGTATTATATTTTAGTTCATTTTCTGAACAACGTTGTTCAATGATAACTGGTTTGAAAATTTGGGCTTAAGTTATTTATAACACAAACGTCACTAAAAATGTGCATTCCTTTTAAATTTTGACAGCATGTCTAAACGCTTTTCACTGCTCAACAAGTTAGAACGATAAAGAACAAAATTTTTAAATTTAAAACTGCTCAATTGGATGTCAAAAGTCAACCTCTCACTCGGCTGAGCGCGTAAAATTGATATTGAAAAAATATAATTCATCTATTACGACTTTTTTAAAATCGATTAAGAGGCTCGAGGTCAACGAACTTGCCAAAAATTTGGCTTTAACTTCAACAAACTATATACTCTTTTTTAATGTCATTGTAAGAAAAACGTAATTGAGTATAAACTTAAATCATTTTTTTAAAAAAGGATTTTTGTTACATGTCTCCATAAATGATGTAACTTATTATAGTTGAGTCCAAAAGGTTTTCAACTTTTTTATCAAAGAATCTGAAAGACTGCTCGTTTTGATCATCGGAGATCATTGTTGACTTATTGCAACCCCAGCCAAATAAAATCAAATCAAGCTAAAGAAAGCTGATCAAGTTCAATTTTAAGGTGTTAATATATTAAGAGGCTGAAAATTTGCCGAATACTTGATTGGTTTTAGATTTTCACACTAAAAATGCATCTTCCTGACAACCTGAATGGGTAAAACAGCTTCATGTTTAGCTTCATATCCTTAAATCAACTTACTTGCATGGTAATTGCCACTTACACTCTGGGCTTTCTATTTCATTTAAGAAAAAAATTAATTAAAATAATATTTCATAGGATATGGGAAAAGTTTATCATAAAATTCGAAAGTATAAAAAAAACGCTTATTTAACATCTTTAGTGTGATAAATTTTGCTTTCTGCTTCAGATAGTATTAATTATACTAATGCTTATCCGAATTTGGCATAAATTGCTGGTCCAATTGCTGGTCATATATTTTTTCGTTTGTAGTATCTGAATGAAAATAATTATACTGAAGATGCTCATCTTGATCGTTCAAGTTAAAAAAAGCAAAAAAAAATCGTATTTTTTAGCCCCGCTCAAGATCACCAAACTCGCCAATACCTTGGAGTTAACAGTGTACAGTCTTCTTTCCAAAAAATTTTCGTACAACGCCTCAATTATGAAAGTATTCTAAATTTGAGATAGTAAAATTGCGTCGAGATTGCAACCGAGTTTTTCAATATTGCGTGTGAGCTGTTTTCGAAAGAATTTTCAAAAGATCAGTGATCAGTTCTGATCATCCTGTCGATCAGTTCTGTTCATCCTTGTCGACTCATTGCATTCCCAGCCAAAAAAAACAAATCAGGCTAAAAAACAGCTAAAGCTGATCAAGATGTTCAAGGTCAGTTTTGAGGTGTTAATACATTAAGCGGCTGAAAAATTGCCGAACACTTGAGACTGGCTTTAGATTTTCTTACTAAAAATTGTGTCTTCCAGTCAACCAGAATGAGTAAAAACAGCTTCAAAATTAGTTTCCAGCCAGCGGCTGCTGAGAAAAACCAGTTGAGCTTGAAAAACAAGGCAACTTTTTAAGTGCAGTAATTAAGTGTTCAAAGTTATCTTGGAGGTGCGTTCGTTTTTCAACGCAAGTCTTCCAAAACGGTCAAATATTTCTTTGGAATAATAAAAATTTGGAAAGAGACTTTTGGAAATTTCCATTGTTTGTTGTCTTTAATATTCAAATGTTCACATTGGAGATTTAAGAAAATTCCGAAGTAGTGCAGATTTGAAAGAATAACCGCATGAAGTGGTCTTCGAGACCTCTTTTGTTAGTCACAGCATGCGAAGTCTGAAAATGAGCTGAACCGAAAATGAAAATGACTAAAACAAACCAATCGTTGAAAAATGCCAAAGACTTGATCTAAACTGAGAGTCACGTTTTGTACACCTGGTTAACCGTGAGTGACTGCGCTGGCTAAAATCGTGTTTACTTTTTACTATTGGATGCTATTATTCTTACTTTTAACTGGTCTTGATTAGCGCCAGTAAAAACCATCTGGTCTGCCATATCATAATTACAGATTACTTGATGCATAAATCTGTTTATCTTACTTGACATGTATCTATTCAGGTACATATTACTAGATTCTGTACCTCGCGACTGGAGATTAATTAGCTGTTGATAATCAAGCATATACTTAGTAATCAACTTGCAAATATCTAATTTTGAAAGAAACAATCGAGAAATTCAAAAAAATGGCCTAAAATCTATATTAACTTCAGAAAAATAAAAAACGATATAAACTTTTTCATTGATAATCGGCCCATTCTACTTGGACGCTTTTGTTGTTAACCGCAGAACAATATTAATTAACTAAATAGTCATGACTTCGACGAGTAAAAGCTCATCGAGTACCCATAGTGCTGCGTCCAGCAGAGGTCACTGGGGTTCAAACTTCGAGTTCATCTTATCGGCAGTTGGGTGTTGTGTTGGCTTTGGAAATGTCTGGCGCTTCCCTTACAAAGTATTCCAAAATGGTGGAGGGGCTTTTCTTATTCCTTATTTTGTTATGCTTATCCTGGTAGGGTTGCCTATGTATTTTATGGAGCAGGCGCTGGCCCAATTTTCAAGTCTGGGTGAGTGGTTTAAATTCAGGTTTTTTATTTTTTCTCTCCATGATCCGTTGACAATTACTTTGTTCAAAACTATAAAAAAATATTTCAAAAAAAAAACAATTCACAGTGATTGGGAAGTCAAAGCTATGTACATACATTATTATAAATTTGATTTATGAAGTTCTTACAATCATTTTTCATTCAAACTGTTAAGGAATATTATAACATATTTTTGAAATAGAAGCTCAAAGCTTTTCAGCGGTTACTAGAAATTTTGACCATTTTTTGTGAACTGATCTATGAGAATTTATTTAGTTTCTGCAATGAGGCGAAAGAGTTGATCTCAATCTATGTAAGCGCCTGGTTAATGAAACTGAAAAATATTTGGAGCAATTTTTCCCCAAAAAATACAAGGGAAATCTATGGAAGAGTTATTATTTGAAAATCAAACTTGACATTAATGAATGAAGACTGAAAGTTTGATTGCGTTTTTTTTTCAAATATTGACTAAGATGGGACTGTTTTTTGCAGAGTCAATGTAGTCTTTATTTTACGACCTACAATATCATCCTAAAAACGAGTTAGTTTCTTGATTTTTTCTATGGAAAGCGAACTATCGTGCCAATTGTGTAGCAAAACAAAAGATTTTAACCTGAAAAAGAAATATTTGACTGCAGTTTGAGGTAATTGAACAACGTTGATGACTTTTTGGCTCCAGTTTTTTTATAAGTTTCAACTCCGCTGAAAAAAAAAACAAAATTAGCAGCGCTGTACAATAATTAACACGAATTGACCTGTCATGAAAAAATCTATTAACAACGATCTCAATTCCTTATTTCTGAAGTAAGTCGATTTTCAGATCTGAAATTGTTAATTTCCATCGATAGTAATTTTCAAATCTGAAATGCCCTATTTTTTTGTGTAAAACTTAGATCTGAAAAAGATAATCTCATAATTGGGAAAACCATGTAAAGAAAGATAACGAAATCTACGGAAAAATATTACTTACTTTTCACAGAAAAAAAATCTCTGATAAACAGTCAGTATTTTATTCGGAACTTTTTGAAAATTATCTTAAATGGCCGTAAAACAAGACTCAATCAATTGGTGGTAGTTTTTTGAGAGAGAGCAGCTTTGGCTTTAAAAAGTTTTATTGAAAAAATTTTTATTTCATTTTGGTTTATGATAGCAACTTCTGAGCTCAAACGGAAGTCTTAAGAAAAAAATATTTCATCAAAATTTGATATTTTGTGTCTATAACATAGTCCAGATTGAGCTTTCTACCAAAAATCCGAAATTATCAAGAAAGCGTTTTCGTTTATCCAGTTTTTGTTTTCATTTGCTACGATGAAATTAAATTTACATAAGGCCTCTTCGCTCAACCACTGAAAACTTTCGAGTCATATGCAAAAAACTTTTGTTATACAATTCAAAGAGAAAGTTTTAATCATTTATTTACATAGCTAATATCCCCAAATCAGCTTGTTATTTAACTCCAGAGTGAGGAAAAAAAGCCAATTTTTTAATTTATTTTTATGGAAAAAATGCCTCTTTTTTTCATGCAATTTTTTCAGTCAAGGAAATTGTATAAACTATATGAAATGCTTTTTTTCATAATTTAACTTGTCTGACACGAGTTTTTTTTTATTCCGGGAAGCCCTGAATATTCAAATTGCCCATAAGGATTGGGAATCAATAATTGTTGGCAAAACAAAACGTAAAATTTAGACAATGAAACCTCAATTATGATTCTTATGATGTAAAAACAAATTTAATAGCTTTTCTAAGTTCAATTTTGAACTTTTTTAAAGCGGGATAATTATGGGCGCATAGTTTTTTTTCGTTATATTGGCAACATAAATAATTTCTTCAGAGTGCGTCTAAGCTAGCTCAGAGCACAACCAATTTGCCTATTTTCAAACCACCACATTTTCAAATTAATAATCAGTGGTAAATATTATGATTTTTTTGGTCTCAAGGAATCAATATCTTCAATCGGCTATATATTTTTTGTTATATTTCGAAATCCAAATTTTGATTCAATTAAATAAACTTCGCAACAAAATTTTTTTTACTGTCTTCAAACTGAAATCCAATGTATATTATTCGATGTATGTCATTGTAAGCATTTTGTGCAAATTAATTTTCACTATTTTTTTGCAATAGTTAAGTATAGTTGCAGCAAAAATTATTAATGAATATACATTTTTTTTCTCCAATTCCACTTTCTGACTCAAAGTTATCAACGGATCTATCAAACTGCTCAGTTTTTATTCTATTACATTTTCTGTATTTTGATGTTTAGGACAAAACATATTTCAGCATTCTGCGATAGGAGATTTTGCTAATTAACCTCCTGTATCTGGTAGAAATTACTAATTACTAATCTGCTTAAAATTGAAAAAAAGTGCGCTGTCAAAAGTATAGATGTTTTCAGATCTAAAACAACCGCGATAAAATGTAGTCTGATCCTAAATTAGATCTGAATTTATCCATTTTTATTCATACATGTTCTTATTCCTTGTTTCTTTAATCCCGTAATGTCTAGTAGGAACTATACAGTTTCAAGCTAACGGCAATAGAAAAAAATGCGTCGTCAGTATTACAGATATTTTCAGATGTGAAACAAGACTGCTCGTTTATCAAGGCAAAGCCGTGAATGTACCGACTGTCCAATAATTTATATCGAATACTTTTTGAAAAAAAAAATACTGAAAACCTATACATTTTGGATAGTATCAATGTGTAAAGTTTTGAGTCGTACGAAAATAATACGACCGACTTGCTAGTCTCAATTCAATTTGGAACAATTTTGCTGTGCGGGATAATTTGCCGCGCATAAAAAATACGTGTTACGCTCTCAGCATTAAGAATAAACGTTTCAGAGCGCGCATAAATTGGTCCAGAACAGGCACATTTAGCAATTTTCAAACTCCCAGAACTTCACAAAAAATTATCGGAAGTTAAATATCTTTTTACATTTGAACTCTATATCTTTAATGGGGTATAAGAATTGTTGTTGAAAATAATTATTTCGAGCGGTGAAAATTGATTTAATAAAAAAACCATACAGAGCAGAAATATTCGGTTTCCTTCGAACGTCGGAACAATAACCGAGCGAAAAATTATTCAGATTAGAAATAAGATGCTAACTTATCCATTTTTAAGTATACAAGCGTTATCTCAACGTTTCTTAACCTGCTAATTTGTAGTATGAACTATAAAGTATTAAGTATTAATGAGCTGGCCAAAATAGGAAAATTTGCGCTGTCAGAGAGTAGATAGTTTTAGATGTTAATTAACCGAGAAAAAAATTTTCAGATCTGAAATTAGAACTGAATTTATCCATGGTTCAAGCATACAAGTGTTATTCCAACGTTTTTGAACCTGCTAATGTCTAATTAAAACTATACAGTTTTGGCCTAACTGAAAAAGGAAAAATGCGTCCTCAGTATTACAGTTGTTTTCAGATCTGGAACAAGACTGCTCGATTATCAAAATTTTGTTCTAAAGGCAAAATTTTGTAAAGGCAAAATTTTGTTCTAACTGAAAAAGGAAAAAACTCGTCGCAGCTTTATAGATAATTTCATATCTGATATAACCATAAAAACCATTTGCAAAAAGTTAGATTAAAAACAATTAGAGTCAAAACCTTAGCTTACGGTTATATTAGTTATAGTTTTTGCTCTGAGTTTTTTTTCTTCCCCTTTTAAAAAAATATCAACTCGTAAATTTTTACTTAATGAAAAAATTATATTTTGAATATTTTTGTGTTGTCAGAATTCGTTCATAATCATAGCGGACTTTGCAGTAACCAAAAATCGCACTTTTGAGTCATTATTCTTAAGTCAGTTTCCATAAATAAACATCAGTTGAAGTAAATTGATATATCATATTTCAGCCGTTTCAGTCATGAGTTGATCAATTTTATAAAATTTTCAAAATTTTCGTTCAGTGCTAACAAAACTCAAAAGTCAGTCCTCATATTGATTCGCTTTAGGCTTAAATTTTTGCTATTGCTTTGAATCATGATTCGACAATGAAGTCACTGGCTGCCCGTGTTAGGCTATTTTTTAGCCCCCACCCCGCGCACATGACAAAAAAAATCAAAATAAAAAAAAACTTCAACAAAAATGGAGCATTCATTATTATTTTACTTTAGATCAAGTTTTTATCTGTAAAATTTTCCGTATATTTCAGGACAGAAAAGCGAACTTTTGTTTGTTCGTAGGATGTGATTTTTCTGAATTAAATCAGTGCTAAGTTGTAGTATATTTTTTCTTAGTTTGACTGGAATGAGAGATTCTGATGTGTTTTTCTTGTATTTGATTGCAGGTCCCGTGTCACTGTGGAAGTTCTGTCCCCTCTTCAAAGGCATAGGCTACTCCATGTTCATCATGAATGCCCTCTTCTCCATCTACTACAACATGCTACTCGGATGGGTCATCTACTTCCTCATCCACTCTTTCACCCCCACCTCACTTCCCTGGAGTGGGTGTGACAACAGCTGGAACTCACAGTACTGCAGTCACCCCATCACACAGTGTCGAGAAAAAGTATGCTCCTATCTCAGTGTTCTAGTTTGAGTACTTGAAAGTGTTTTGCCTTTGTTCGCATTCTCACTGCAACAATGGTTGATAATATGTTTCAAAGGTGAAGGATAATCAGTCAAGTTTTGATCATCTTTTGATGCAATTTTTATGGCCGCGTAATAACAGTTTAATTAAAGTGTTACCATTTCAGTAGATGTAGAGCTATGATAAACATTTTCCTATCCGGTTGCAATGATGCTGCAACTAGCAAAAGTGAAGGAGTCAATTGAAGTTTGACCATCTCGTCTCCTTTGATACACTTTTATGGCCGCTTTCTTTTCATTTTTCTTTGAACTTCTAGTCGTAAAAATCATCAAAAATGCTGGATATATTCCATCAAAAAATCCACCCGCCCTCGCAAAACATTTGATTTGGCACTTAATTGCATGTCTCAGACTAAAAGGCCAAAAAAGTAAAAACAGATTAGCTTTGTTGTGACGAAAAAATGACTGGGGTAGCAAAAGTTTTGTCAACTATATACAAAGTGATTTTTTTTATATTTCTTGGAAAATTTCCGATAAACTAGAACTCAAAAATGTTGATTTCTTTTTGTAGAACGGTCAGTTTGACGGTTTCGTCTGTCGGACAGATGTGAGTCCTTCCGAATCAAGAAGCAGCAACCACTTATTCCAACCCAACGACAACTGGACTTCGCCCGCTGAAGAGTTCTGGATCAACAATGTACTCAGAAGGAGTCCCGGAATCGACCAAGTTGGAAGTTTCCTCCTGCCTCAATATGCCGCTTTTGTCATGTCTCAGGCTATCATCTACCTCATCTTAATTAAAGGTAGCTCTCACTTTTCGTGTCCAATTAACCAGGAGCAATATCTGATTTTTTACCCATGATTACAGGTATTTTAGAGAGCACAAAGCAGTGGAAAAATTAAAAAAAAAAAGAGCATTTTGAGTTTCAATTTTTTCACTGAAGAAACTATCTTGCGCATAGGAATTTTTTGACCAGTGGCAAGAAAAGGAAAAAGTATCTGCCATCAGTAGATCTGAACCCGTCACTGGGCTTTTTAATTGTTCTATTGTTTCGTTTCTGACACTTAAGATCATAAATGTCATACCAGACAAGTGAAATACCAATAGCTGAAGCCCCAATTGTAGGAAGACTTGAACGGCTGGAGAGTTACGGTTTTTTCGGCTGAGCAATTTTATTGCAATGAGAGCCGTTTTTTTTCGTCTGCAACCTGGATCAAACTTTGTCAGATTATATAACAAGAACTAAAACGATGCAACCGACCAAAATAATTACAAAAAAGGAATTTTAATGAAAATTTGCAAAGAATTGTTCAGGCGACCATTGGACATCAACTTCTAAAACATGAGCGGTTGCTTTTTTTCCCACAAAATCTCATTCGATTCGCGCTCTTTTTTTGGGAAAAAATTCGGTCTTTAACCTTTCGCAACTCTCTATATCACTTTGAGCTATTTGAAATTTGTGTTATTAGGCGTGAAATCAGTGGGGAAAGTTGTCTACGTCACAGTAATTGCACCTTACGTCATTTTATTAATTCTCCTCATCAGAGGACTCACTCTTCCGGGAATGGAAGAAGGCGTGAAGTTTTTCATCCAGCCAGACTTCAGCAGACTAGCCGACCTCACAGTCTGGACCGGGGCTGCCAATCAGATCATTTTCTCACTGGCTCTCGGCTGTGGAATTAACCAGACTTTATCCAGCTTCAAGAGGTTTAACGTTGATTGTGAGCGGGATACTTTTATAGTCGCGGTGACTAATTGTGGCACCAGTATTTTTGCGGGTTTCACAGTATTCTCCATTCTGGGCTTTCTGGCCAACCAGCAGGAGACTTCGGTGCCAGATGCAGTGCAAGATGGAATGGGACTAGCCTTCGTGGCCTATCCAAGCGCAACTGTCCAAATGCCATGTAAGTATAGAAGAATGGAAAAAGACACAGGTTAAAGTAGGTTATATTATGAGATTTGCTGGCTACCACGTTGTGTTCCAGATAAATATGGTTTTACTTGAAAATGGTGTCTTTTTTTAAATACATATATACCTTTTTTTTAGGTCGACCAAGTTGATTTTCCGAGCACTCCTCAAGCACTAAACAGACGCTGTTTAGGCCACAAATTTGACAAAAATTGCGTTTTTTGGCGCGAGATTTCCCTCAAAGTTAGTGTATTGGCGCCAAAGGCGCCTTTAGAAAAGTTTTAGGGTCACTCAGTCAAAAACGGATATCTCAATATTGTGTGAAGTGGGATCCTTTGAGTCGGCAGGGGGTCGAATCCCTGAAGGGGAAAGGGTGTCCGCCCTACCCCCCCCCCCCCTAATTTCGCCCCTGTTAAATATTTCAAACTGTTGTGGTTTGTATTAAACACTTAGTTCATATGGCCTTCGGTATTGATTAGATGCCTGCCAGCTATGTTATGGATCGACTATTGGTCGATCATTCATAGTTCAAAATAGGCTGAGAACTATTCCTGTTCAATTTGTGCTGCAGTTTCTCCGTTGTGGGCGGTGCTGTTTTTCCTGATGATGTTGAATGTGGGAGTGGACAGTGTGTTCGCTGGACTGGAGGCCAACATCACCAACATCCTGGACGAGGTGCCTGCATTGAAGCCCCACAGGAAGTACATCACACTAGGCGTCATTCTCACTTCCACCCTCATGTCACTGCCCATCTGCACCGAGTCAGGTAAGAGTGGGACTACTAACAAGCTACATGAAAAAGGATATAAAAGCAAGCTAATAATTTGAAAAACAATCAAGACGATGAGTTGAGATAGCTTTTCAAGATGATAGAATCAAGTTGGCATCAGGTGCGGATTTAGGGGGGAGGGGGGGAGGTGGTGCGTACGCCCTTTTTTTAAGGATTTAACCCCCTCACCAACCAAAAGGCTCCCTATGACATCCTTTTTCGACCGAACAACCCTAAAGCTTTTCTAAAGGAGGCGCCTTTGCCGCCAATATATACTCTTTTGTCAAATTTTTCGAATAAGTGCCCGAAAACGGTCTCAGAAAATCAATTAGTCGGAAAAGCCGATCGAAAAAGCCAATCAAAAATTTTTTTGGAAAATCCGCCCCTTCCCCTCTGAGATTTTCCTAGGTCTTAGAGTGAAAACTTGGTTGTTAAACAATAAGTAAATTGTTTATCGGATAGAATAATTGGTTTCTTGAATCAACTTTGTTGCTTAGTTTCAATTATATTTTTTAAGTTAGGAAGTTTATCCTGAAAAATCATTAGAGTGAATTGAATAAGGAAGATCTAGCAAACAATGTAGATAGCAAAAGATAATGAACACGTACAGCGTGGTATTTTGAGTAGGTGAGCACAATGACCTTGATTAGAGGAATTAACATCAAACTGCAGTAAGACTGCAAAAGAACAAGTAAGTAACGAGGTACCGAAGGTCGCCTCACGACATTCCCCGCGGAATTTTGATAAACAACCCAAAATTTAGGAGATAATAAACTGCACCCAGACAAGCAAAAGATTGATAGCCCCCCTATCCCACACAAATGCTGTACAGTTACATAGAAAAATACGATAACATGAAAGAGTTTGTTTGAGTTAGGAAGAGTTTTAAACTTGACAAATAGTCAACCTTTCGGTAGCTTCTTTCGCATGAGCGATATGAGGAGACATCGACACTGAAGATCCAGGTTGAAGACGATCCCGAATGAAGGGTTTTCGTGGTGAGGACGAAGATCCGGTCACCTTTTCAGAGGGCAAAGTTGGGCTCTCCTCAAGTTGGGCCCTCTTCGCACTTGTTGAAGTGTGAAGCTGCGATATGGAGTTAGACTGAGGAGCAAACGTAACGGGAGGTGAGTCGCACTGAAGCCTTTGGCGTTTTTCCACAGGAGAAGAGTCCTGGATAACATGGAGACCGCCGTTTGATTCAACTGAACTCTCACTGGAAGATTCCACTGTAAGATCCACCATCGGGGTAGATAAAGTCGGATTGTTTGGCCGTTGTCCCAGTATTACAGGCTGAGACCGCGTAACGGGCCTTTTAACATCACCCCGAGAGGTAGAATTCGAGGCTTGGAGGCGATCACCTAGAGTGTTTGGAGCAATTGTTTTCGACAGTCGACGGGGTTGCACAGCTGGTACACGTCTGGGGCTAACTTGAGCCCCCAGAGATACTACTAAAGCCGAGAAGCGAAGAATGTTGTGATTCAGTCCTGACTTGAGGGAATGCGCGAGGTCTGAGTGCCGGGTTGCTAGTTCCTTGAGAACCCTTTTCCCTCCATCCGGTGGAAGGTTTCGTTTGAATTGCGAGCATTTATTCGCCGCTCGAGCGAGTTCAGCCAACGCCTTGTAGGGTTCACTATCTGCCACATTTCCGTCCAGAGAAAACAAGGGTTTGAAGCGGGGAGGAACTGTTGGACTAGCACTGCCCCGAGGAACAACTTTTGCCCTGTCCCTGCTATAGTCCTGGCTGGCAATCTGGTCTGGCGTTATGGGGTTCCGCTCCAGTCCTCGGGCTGAAGTATCAGATTGAACATCCTTATTAAACTCCTGTGACCATACAGTATTAGGTTTACGACCGAAATGCAATTCAAAAGGTGATTTCTTAAGCACCGAATAATTACTCTTGCGTATATCTTCAAGTATATGTTGAATCGTTTCCTTAAAGTTTTTGAAATTAAGATCGAGTTTTGCAAAACCCAGTTTTCTCTTGATTGTCAGAATCGTTCGTTTAACCAAACCACTGCCTCTATCATCTCCAACCGGCGAGAGGATATGTTTAATACCTCTGCTAGAGCAAAATTCTTGCACCAAGTTGTTTTTATTACCTGACCCATGATCCGTTCTGATAGAGTGAGGTAAACCATGAATACGAATGTAAGATGCAAAGAATTTAGTAACCTTCTTAGCCCCAGTAGTTTTAGAAAAAAGAACTGAAGGAAACTTAGAGAAACGATCGTTTGCTACCAAAAGGAAGATCTTGGAACCTTTATCATCAAGTATAGGACCAGCAAAATCTAGTTCTAATTCCTGACTAGGTACAGACAGACTAGGCAAAGGTTGCGCAGTATTAAAAGTTGTCGCTGGCTTAAAATTCTTACCAAACAAGGTGCATTCACAGCACTTCTCGCACTTTTCAATAATCTGACGGTTCATGAATGGCCACCAGAGATGTTCAAAGGCCGCCATCATAGCCTCTTGTCCCGGGTGAGAATGGTGAAGACGAGTAAGCACGGATTGTCGAAGAGGTTCGGTAATGGCCAGTTTTTTATCAATAACTACACAGTTATTAACCACAGCTGCTCTAGTCCAAAATTGGGCCATATACGCACCAAGCTTGTTAAAAGATGTGATGCCCTTGTTAATGGTTGAACTTTGAGTAACATTCTCATCGCCCCCCCCCCCAAGCGGCGAGTGACAAAAGTAATTCGCACAATTATACTGCGACAGGAATTGAACACCCTCTTGCGGTGGCAGACAATTTATATCCCTCAATTGAGATGAAATATAAGAGTTAATGAAAGTGAGGACCTGATGAAAATCCTCAATAGATTTAACAACGAAGAGTTCATCATATTTAGAGGGCTCACGTTCTGGGAACGTAAGATAACGAGATAAGTAATCGATTATTCCCACCGTGACCCCTGGGACATGAATAACCTCGAAATCAAAAGGTAACAAACGATCTGCCCAACGAGCAAGACGAGACTGATACGAGGTATTGTTATAGTTCTCATTTAATATTGTTCCGATATGATAGCTTTGTGATCAGTCAACACTTGAAAACGTGTACCCAACAGATAGGTACGGAAATGTTCGCAGGCCCAAACGATTGCCAACAACTCCAATTCGTTGGTACTATATTTAGCCTCCGCATTGTTAAGAAAACGCGAAGCAAAAGCAGTTGGGGCCCATGCTCCCCGCTCATTTTTTTGTTCGAAGCAAGCTCCTAAGCTATTTTGGCTAGCGTCACATTTTACCCTTGAGCCCTTTGATGAATCGAAAAGATAAAGACTCGGGATTTTTGCAATCATTTTGATTATGTTGTTAAAGGCCTTATTCTGTTCCTCTCCCCACAAAAACGACTGTTTGTTACAGGATTTTAAAGATGCCCGGAAATGAACAGTGTGTGTATGTAAATCGGGAATAAACCTTTGTAAATGGCTTAACGTTCCCGTGAATGAGCGGAGTTGTTTTAAAGTTCGCGGAGGCTTGAGTGATTGAATTGCCTCGATCTTTGCAAATTTAGGAGAGTAACTGTCCTCATTTATGTCATACCCTGACCAAATTAGTTGGTTAACAGAGAGTTCGCACTTACTCAGTTTGAGAGCCCATCCTTCCACATCGAGTCTATGCATGACCTTTTCAACTAGTGCGTTATGTTCCCGGACATCTCCTTTAGTGATTATCAAAATGTCATCAAGGTAGCAAATGACCCCTTCTAACACTTGTAAGGTAAAATCCATTGCCTTCTGAAACTCTATAGGCATATCAGTGAACCCATAAAATCCAGTCTTGAATCGGTATGTTCCCGTAGCCTCGCCACACAAAATATTAAAAAGTACAGTGACTTCTAGTTAGCGATGACAATGGCAGCTGACTAAATGCATACTTCAAATCCAAGGACGTGAACCAGACTTTTCCAGGAACATTTTTAGTTATGATATGTGCCGCGGAATTAATGAGTTCATGAATGTTCGGCATCTGGTACTTGTTTTTCCAGATCTGGGCATTCACCGGTTTAGCATTAAAGGGCCAGTTTGATGCAGCCATCCTTTTTTGCGGTTAGCACAATTGGTGCTATAACGAAATCAGTCGTACACTTGTCCATTTTTTCAATATGCTTTTGCTCCATCAGAAGTTTTATCTCGCTTGCGACCCTATCCTGAATATGAATGGGAACTTTACGTCCTTTAAATTGACGTGGCACCAAAGGGAACTTGAAGTTGGTATAAACTTTATGATGTTCAGATCGACCTAAACGACTGAACTCATGGGCGTATTTCTTTGCAAAGAAAGAGCTCCAATACTCTGATATTGGACCCGAGGAACATGTCTCCAGCAACTGAACTGATTCAGCCTTCATCTGTGTAGTAACAACACCCAGTTGCTCCTGCAAATCCAATCCAAGAAAATTACGAGTTCGGTTCTCCGAAATGAGGAACTGAGCGTTATCCACCTTCCAGCCGCTAGAAGAAATCGGGATTTGAATCGACCCAAGTAGACGAATGGGCTGCTTGTTATAGCCAACATATATGGTATCAATAGGGTATCTTGTGATATCGCGAAACTCAACTGATGGGTTCCATTGCAAAAGTAAATCACAGGTACGTTTATTCAGGAATGAGACTGGGCTTCCTGTGTCGACAGTCGAATAGAAAAAACTGTGACCGGAAGGCAATTGAATACTGAGGCTCCTAGATTTCCCTCCGCTTGACTTGAGGGTTTCTATACTATTTATCATGACAGCGGATTCCAGTTGTAACATCCCAAGTTCTGGCTCACTGTCCTGCTCAACATCTATAAAATTACAATCTATAGATGGACCTGAAGCGTCCTCATTTTTCTGAACCAGATTGACGCGTCGTTTTGACGAGTTGCAACATTTCGCAAAATGACCACGTTTCCGACAAAGATTACATGTTACTTCCCGAGCTGGACAAGATTTTTGAGATCCCGACTAAAAGCATTAACACAGAAGTAGCACGACTTATTCTCTTGGTTGTTTTGTGAGGTTTTTTGATTGTTTTGATTTTGAGGATAATTCCTTTTCCCTCTGCACGACTGAATGGAGAAAGTAGGTTCTTGATTAACCTTGATAGCATTTGAATGTTGATTATGAGGAAGTAGCTTTGGAATTGAGCAGACGTATTCGCTCCCTTTTCGCACTCTAGTGCAAGTTTGAAGGTGCCATCAAGATCAGCCTTAGCCTTAATAAGTTGTTGTTGAACATCTATATCTCGAATTCGTCCAATAAAGAGGTCTTTCAAGGTCTCACTTTCTTGAGCCTGAGGCCAATTACACAGAGCTACTTGGGCGCGCAGACGAGCGTAAAATGACGAGAAAGTGTCATTTTGAGCTTGAAAACCGTGTTATACAATTTGATACGCTCAGCCGTTTACTCTTGTTCGACCTTGAATAACGTCTCACAGCCATTATGAAATTCCTGAAAAGGAATATTACTGATGTCCGTATGAGGAAAAGAGTCAGCAAAACGTCTCTTCCCTTCGTTCCCCAAAGCGAAGAACAACCGAGACTTCATACGAGCTTCAGTTTTGTGGTAAAACCAATTCTGACTGATCCGAGGACCTTTTCTCTTCCTCTCGATGTTTAGTTCATTAACTCTTTGAACTGCCGCTTGATCCCTCTGTCTTCGAGCGTCCGCTGCTCCAGCATCTTCGCCGTCGGCAATTGTCTCAGGTCTTGGAGGAGGTTCATCAAGAACCTCTGCGGGTTCGACAAGAAGATCGTGAGGATTGATATTATCTTTCAAGCCAGCGGCCAAGAAAAATTGACCAATCCACAATTCCCACAAAAATGGCGGGTTAATAGAAGCTTTCGCCCTGAAAGGGGAAATGCCTAACAGGTCAGTCCAGTCGTCGTTCACAGGAACTGCTGGCTGCGCCATGAGATTTGCCGAGGTTTTAGAGTGAAAACTTGGTTGTTGAACAGTAATTAAATTGTTTATCGGATAGAATAATTGGTTTCTTGAATCAACTTTGTTGCTTAGTTTCAAATATATTTTTTAAGTTAGGAAATTAATCCCTAATGATCATTAGAATGAATTGAATAAGGAACATCTAGCAAACAATGTAGATAGCAAAAAATAATGAATAAGCACAGCGTGGTATTTTGTGTAGGTGAGCACAATGACCTTGATTAGTGAAATTAACATCAAACTGCAGTAAGACTGCAAAAGAAAAAGTAAGTAACGAGGTACCGAAGGTGGCCTCACGACACCCTCGAAAGTCCTAGATCCACCCCTAGTTGAAATGAGAGAGAAATAAGAGAAAAAATAGCAGTCACCGCAGTTCTAAGGCCATTATTAGTTTGCTCATTAATAAAAATATTTTTAAAATCATAATCACCCGAAGAACTAATCATTTTATGAACAATCAAGATGATGAGTTGAGATAGCTTTTCATGATGATAGTATAAAGATGATAGTTGGGATCAGGGGCGGATTGTGGGGGGGGGGGTAATATGCAAAAAGAACTGCTTTAGAAGATTCGAGCCCCTAGCGAAATCTGTGCTGCTTGTAACGACATTCATTCTGTTCCGTCGGCAGGTTTCTACTGGTTCTTCCTGCTGGACTGGTACGTGGCTCTCTACCCTATCTTCCTCATCCAGTCCCTCCAGTCTATGCTAGTGGCATATGTGTACGGGGTGAAGAGATTCTCACTCGACATCCAGACCATGACTGGCAAACCTGTCAATATCTACTGGAAGGTAACCAATCTGTCAGTCCTATTCTACTGAAAACTCATTCTGTTTTAGCCAACCCGCTCGCATTTCTAAATTAAAAAGTTACAAAGTGAAATTAGAAACTGTGACTTTAAAAAGTCACAGTTTATAATATAAAAAGTTTCCATCAAAGTCATTTTAATTTCTGGTTCGACTCCAGAAGTTCAAATTTGGTTCTCTCATCAGGGTTGGTGAATATTTTCAACCGCTTATTAATTAGATTAAAGATGTATTGACAATACCGAAAAGATTACAAATAATTGCGTTTATAAAAAAGGAAGTTTCATTGCACGGGAGTTTAATCAGAATAAAATGCTTAGTAGTTGAAAAAGACGTTCCATATCAAATTCCTTTGCAACTGAATCATGATCATTAACAGTAACAGGATTTTTTGCCAAAACAATTGAAATATATTGTCCTTTTTTCAGATCGAACAATTTGAAATTTTGAGCTCCTTAAGTTTTAAGCTATGCTGATTTGAGCTTTTTTTGCAAAGTCTTATTCAAAAAACGCATTTTTTGGACTGCGCTCGCCTCTCCAATTGATTCATCTTTTCCACTTCCCGCCACTCAAATATTTTCAAGTTTTCTGTACTTTTATATGCTATTGTGGGTAAATGAACTTCGGCTGAGAGTTAAAAGCACGAATGTGTTCCTTGCATTATGACAACTATAAACTAAATTTTCGAAGATAAAATTGAAACGTGTAGGAGGGAAAGAGGGCGCGCCAAAGAAGTTTTTATTAGCGCCCAAAACCCTGTATTAAAATTGTAACGGTTGTTCTGTCAGAAAAGGCTGTCGTTGAAAGAGCCAAAAAACTGAACTTTTGGGGAATTGTTACTGGCCGTAAAGTAGCTGACAATTTTTTTTGGTTCAACAACTTCATATTTCGACATTCTAACAGAGTGAAGTAACTTTTTCTAGAAGTGATATTTTTCTAGATAAGTTTTGACTTCCAGAAAACAAACTTGTACCAAAGTTTTTAACCAGCTTGAAGATATCGATACAAAAAAATTTGATAAAAATTCAAATAAGTTTTGTTCTCATCTTTATTCGGCCAAACCATACTTGAGAAAAACGAGTATTTAAACCCATTCCATCCGGTTGTTTTAATTAAAGCACTTTGTCGCCTCTTCAGCACAAAATGCAGTAAAAACCCAATAAATTGTGGGAACATGCGTCAACCAAAAACAACCCAACTTAATGAAAAATATCATCAGACTTTGGCAATTTTTGCTGCCTACTGCAAAAAAGCCAATTCAACCAGCAAAGTGTTTGGGAATTGAGAGAGGATTTATAAAAAACAAGTTTTAGAAACACCCCGTAGAATACTTTTACAAAAACCATTTACAACGTCAAGTTTGGAATCTTCAACTGAAATTTTTTTGAAAAATCAGGCTCTTGCTCAGAAAACATAAAATGCATTAAAATCGATTATAACGCTTTATGATCTATTATGATCGATTTTAATCCTCAGATATCTGTTATAATCCGAAATAATCAATTATAATGGTTTAAAATGATTAATTTGTTTTGATCGATGAAAAATCCATGATAATCAATAATTTTAGACTTTCATGCAGACATACCATGATAATCCATGTATCGATTATCATTCAAGCAACCTCATTAAGGAAAGGTAGTAAAATTTGGAATGACTAGGCAATAAAAATTTTTATCTTAGGGATAATTTATGTTTGTTTTGATTGACATTAGCTGCTGCTGTTCGAATTTATCTGGAAAACGCTCAATTGAATAAAAACTTACGATGGAATTCTTCAAATTTTTATCCGTATTCCTGATTTCATCTCAAGAAACGGGGAAAGTTTTACCTGGAATCAAAATGGTATAGTTTTGAAAGTGCCATGTAAGTGTTTGGCATAGAAAGTTATTAGTTTTTGTGTTTTCAAGATATTCATGATCAATCACTACTTAGAATTGCTTAACTTGTCACCTCTTACTTTCTCACCAATAAACAGAAAAACCGGGGCCTGAAAACTTTTCTGGATAATATTGTTCTTATTCAAAAATATACAAAAGTTGATTTGTAATACTACAATCCAGGTTGGCCTCTAGAACATATAGATACGTGTGTATTTTTTAAATTAAAAAAATATATAAAGTGTGTTTTCCAAAACACGATTTTTTTTCAGAAGTGTTTGGACAATTAAACCGAATAATTTTGCAATAGTAGAAAAAATCGCCAAAATGTGATAACATCATTCTTTATAGTGGATTGTTTTTTGTCAATCATGAAAATAAATTACATTATAAAAATTCTCGTAATTTTCTTCGTAGTTTGTGTAATAATCAGTTTTTGTCCAAAACTAATCGATTAGTCATTAGTCTTAATATTGTCAATTAGTTTTACCAATGTCAAGTTTTTTATCCGTTTATTTTGAATCAGCACAAAATGCAGTGAAAATTCGATAAATCGCGAACAGATAGTGAACTAATATCAATCCAATAAAAAAATTGGTATCATCAGAAGCCAGAAAATGTTTGTTGCCTATTGCGAAAATAATGGCTTCAATAGTGCAAACAACTGTGAAATGAGAGTAGATTCATAAAAACGTTTTTGAAAACACCCTGTAAACAGATTTGACTTCAAGCTATCAATTTTTGTTGCCTGGTATTTTGTTTATGTACATTTAATTGTGTCCGTCTTTTGCTTTGTCTACAATTCTCAAGTTTCTTCAAGTTTCTACATTTTGGCAACTTGTCTAGTAGTCAAAAGTTTTTGTGTAATATTCTGGATCTATGTCCGATTTCGTCTTGATCCTGTCTCCCTCTTTTGATCTATTGTTTACAGGTCTTAAATCTTTTTAACTATTATTTTGGGTGATATGTTACAATAGGTGGTAACTTTACAAGTAGTACAACCGACTAGTACAAGTATTAAATTTAAGAAATCTTGTGCATAATATAGTCCTTTCATTTTTAATAACTTGAACATGCTACCAAGGTGATATAAAACAATAGGTGGCAAATTCAAGATAATTGGCTAAATCGCTCATTTTTATTTATCGAACAGTGTTTGAAATTTATTTCAAAGCCAATTTTTTGTCAAAAGAAGTATAAAATTTGATTTTTTGAACAACATTTCGCATGGCTTCAAATCAAATTTTTACATCTCTTGCCAAAAAATCGGCTTTGAAATAGATTACAAATCCTGTTCGAAGTATTACAAAGAGCGATCCAACCATTTAACTTGAATCTCCCACCTTTTGTAATATATGATAGTTTTTTGCTCGCTTGTTTTTCCTCATACGTAATCTTACCTATTCAGCAGGAGTAAAAATTCCAGTAAAATGATCAAAATTTTTTAGCAAGCAAAACTTTGTTATGAGCAAATGTGCTTAATATAATTTGCGGATTATTAATTTTTTCACACCCCTAGCTGGCATTTCTGACGATTGATATTTTACTGTTGTAATCTGCTGAAAAACAAATGCCATTACAACCACACCTGGAGACAAGATCGAGAATTTTAAAAAAAGTTAAGACTTTCTGCTAATTTTTCCAATGCATAAGGAGTTAGCACTATCTATTATTAGTTTATTTCAATGATTGCGCTTATGATTGATGAACAGGTGTGTTGGATGTTCGTGTCTCCCGCCATCATCCTGTCTCTCTTCGCCTACAACCTAGTCGGGTACAGTGACGTCACTCTAGGCCACTACCAGTTCCCATGGTGGGCGTCTATCTTTGGACTCACAGTCATGCTACTCGGTAGGAGATGCAATTACTCTGCTTTAATTCGAGTGGGAGGGTTGATGAGTCATTGAGGTTTCAATTTTTTGAACCTAATTGATATGATACATTGGTGTTTGAAAGGTTTTTTTTTGTTGGCACGTAATAAAGTGCAATCGGGATGAGCTTATCACTGGATTGTAAGTCAAATCATTAAAAACGTTTGATCTAGAGAACGTTTGTTTATATCCACTGAAAGAGAAAGTGCGGACTTAGTTCTGTTTTTTTCCTTCTAGTTCCAGGTACCGCAAATAAACGTCTGATATCAGATAAAAACCCTTCCATTCGTCATTCAAGCTTCAATTTGCGTGGTTTCTGGGTGTCGAGAAAAAGTTCTGAATCTTTGCTTGCTTTTCAGAGCATTTTAGAACAATCTGGCGATGACTCGTTTTGATTTAGGACATTAAAATCACTAAATGCAAGTTGATTTATACGTTTTTATAAGCTAATAAACAGATCTAATTCTTGAAGCGAGTTCCTCCAGTGTCAAAAAGTCATTTTTATTGGTGTTCCTTTCATCAAAGCAACGCTTAGAATGGTCGGGAGATTTTGTGATAAAAGTACAGCCCTTGTTTTTTTCTGTTTCACATTCGGAGGTGTGTTTTTACCCCAGAAGAGAGCTGAGCCACAGGGGAGAGATAGTTTTGTATAGTTTGTTTTTTTTCTACAAAAAACGCAGATTTCAAGAAACCTGATAATATTAAATTTCGAATTGAGCCACCTAATTCAGTTGAAGTCCAACTTCGACGTTTCAATTTGTATCACTCTTGCTATGGTTTCAAATTAATGAAGCATGCCATCTCAAACTTTTATCAAGTTGCCAATGTTTCTAGAAATACTTCCTATACCGGCCTATGCAATCTACAAAGTGTGGACTACGAAAGGAGAATCAGTGTGGAGCAGAGTTATGATCAACCTCCAACCCAGTGAGGATTGGGGGCCAGCTGACCTTGAAGACAGAGCAATGAATAACAAGTTAATTGCAGAGAAGTTGGGCTACAAATACGTATCAGACGGATCTCATCCAATCTTATAATAAAATTGTTAATTTTTTTCAATGAAAATATTAAATAAATTGCCTATAAAAATTGTGAAATTATTTCAAATTGTCGATGCTTATGAATTATACAACATATTCAAATTTTATACAGAAAAAATTATCCAAATTCATATTTCATTTTATCTACGCTGTTCGCTATTTAAATCGTTCGCTCAATGCTCGCAAGATAACTCTTATGAGGGCAGAGCCCAAAATGATCCGTCTACCCTCTGAAGTGCACGTATCTTCAAACTTAACGCACCAGAAATCCGTTGTTTTTCTCATTGTTTGTTCTAAGTTTGAGATGAGAGGCGTTCTCAGAACTCCCAGATTTTGAAATCAAAAATTGAGTTTTTCAGCTGGCTTAGTTTACGATTATATTTCAAATAGATTACTGGTCATGTCACTTAATCGTTTTGACACTTTTACTCGACAGTGAGAAAAACTGGCTGAATTTCTTTACATATCAATCGGAATAAGCCGAAATAGCTTTAAGTTGTTTTCTGGATACTACCTTCTGGTAGACTAATCTAACTAATCTAAGTTGAAAAACTAAGAAAATGTTGCTTCCAAAATCTTGATACGCTCCTCCAATAGTTTGATCTACCGGCTCTTTTGTTGAAAAATGGGCTCGGACTTTTAGCTCATGTTAGAAAGATATTTTCTGTTTCCGAGTCAATTTGAGTTCGCTCTCAAAATTTTTATTGTCGCCCAAGGATTCCTCTAGTTTTTGCTTAATTTCTTGAACTTTGTACTATACTGCAGTCTTCATTTTGTTTTTGTTTTTGCTCCGTGTTTTGCTCACGTCAAATTCTCCATCAATTGCTAGTATTCTAATTTGGTGGCGTCCGACTTGAAGGACCGAATGCTTGAAATTAATTTTAGCTTGCTTTCAGCCAATCAAAATTGAGTATTCAAAATCTCAAAATAAATCTTGAAAATCTCAAAGTAAGAAAATAAATCCAGGCCATTAGTGTTATTATTGACCGATTAGATAATAGGTAGATAAGTTTTCAAGACTGAAAAATTCTTATTATTTTGAACTCATTAATCTTGATGATTATCTGAATAGTAATGCGGTTGTAGCCCGCAATTTGTAATATTTTCGATTATTTTCGACTGACGTTATACATTTTTTGTTAAGATTGACTTCGATTTTGTGAGAAAGGCATTCAGCCAATAGAAACGCTTAGCGATTTTGATTGGTTGAAAATTTTCAAGCATTCGGTCCTTCAAGCATGAGAACCCTCCCCTTCTAAGTTCATCTAAACAAAGTCCATGTAAATGACCCCAAACTTTGGAAAAGGAAATTGCTGTTGGTTGTTATTTTTTTGTTTGATGATATTTAATGGAAATTGTCTGCTTCCTCCACTCTCTTTGTGTTTTGCGACCTGTTTCTGTCAACCGCAATTATCTCACAATTTTTCATTTTGCAAGACTTACAAAGAGATTGGTTTTGTTGATTAGTTGACCGTATTTCCGACTTATTTTGGTTTTTTGAGATATTGAAGGTCGGATTGTTTTGTACATTAACGTTTTGGATTGTAGCAAATACATTTGCTAATATGTTATCAGGGCTTAAATATTAAATTTTGAGTTTTTTCTGTATCTCCTTTGATAATTTTGATTAAAAAATTTCCTGGCCAATTTTGATTGTAGTTCTTTCAGACTACAGTTTTTTGCCATTTACGTAAGAATTTCGGTGTAATGTCTTACGCTTTTGTCGCCTTTAAAAGTTTTTAAAGCGCCCATACGCGAGGTTTGTTCTTTTAGCGAAAAATATCTTCAGCAAATTCTAAAATTGTGCCAAGTTGACAGTGAGGGTTTTCTCTTTCGGATGTTTCTGGGCAAAAAATGTCTGGTCCTCTTTGCTTTTTGCTAGGTAGAGCTTTGAACTCTATTTTTAAATTGATATATCAGATCTGGAGTTCTAAATATCTTGCCTTTCTATTCTGTGGCTGTGTAGCGTCTTTGTTCTCTGCCGGTTGTTCGGGTATCGGATGATTTAATTGTCTACCTTCTGGCCAGGTTGATTACATCAAATATATCTACTGAAAAGTTTGCTTTTAATGTAAAGGAAAGTTATTTAAGTTAGAGGTGCCGTTAGGAGATATTGACCATGCTAATCTAGTTCTTGAAATTGAAATAAAATTAAGCTAACGAAAAAGGAAGGATGTCCGAAACTTTATCGCTTTTGGCAGGTACTAATTGAGATCATCAGAGTAAATTATCATCGATAAAGTTGAGTGACAGCACTGCTATGCAGTATAGTATATCATATCACTACTTCACATAACCCCGAAAAATTATATGACTAAAATGAGGATCAGACATTTTTCACCCCAAAAGAGAGTGAAGGAAGTGCTGACGTTTTTGGAGCAGGCTAAAGTTCAGACTTGTGGATGATTAATACTTGAGAATGATAATCAACGTTTAATAATTAAACTTAGTGATGATTAGTAGGAAAGCACAATAGGTTGTATGGCAGCAAAACAAAAATAAGATATACAAGCATTTTAGATTCTCTCAGACAACGTTTAGCATCTACAACAGGCGTATTCTCCTTACAAAATCTTTTGATTAGTTGGGCACTACAACAAAAGAGCAGGCAAAATTTTTCTAAAATATGTAGCGTTTTATGCTGACTATTATTTTTGTTAACAAGCAACAATAAACCCTAAGGTTTTAGAAGAGAAAAATCTTCTTTTATAATAGTTTTTGACTATTCTCTCCTGCTTTTTGCGAACTCTTCTTCGCCTTTTGCACCTACAGAGGTTTTCTCACAACGTCTATGATGTTAGCGACTGAATCCAAATCAAGCCCATGCTCCATCGAAGTCATGTCTATCGCGGAATGTTGAGATTGGGCGTCCGTGGGGCTAAAGAAACACTGTGGCCATCTTAGAGGCTTCTGATATGATCTTTTTTGGAATCATATCGATTTGCAGGTTCACGCCCAAAGCTTAAATTGGGAGGAGTAGCTAGATCTTCGATCGCTGAAATCATTGGGGGTACCCCTATTGTGACCACATCCAGTGGGTCTGTCCTGGTAGACGTTATTACACCTTATCAAAGACTATTGAACAATCGGTAATTTGAAAAGATTTATTGGTAACTTCTATTGAAAGAACATTTATTTCGTAAGTTCTAAGGAATAGAAAAACGATGGAGTGCTCACAAGTGTCTTCATTTGAAAACATGTTATTTCAAATGAATAAGTACGGAATATAATATACAGAATCAACGGGTTTTATGCAACAGCCCTTTTTCATCCATCTATTTTATTCCTGGCCAAACAATCAGGGATATATGTGATCGTATGGTTGTACCAACCAACACATTTCTGTGGGGTATTATCACAACTTGTTCGTTCCATAATAGATTTGACATGCCGGAAACGGTAATCCTGAAGTGTTTGTCCTGGCTCTTTCAAGGCATCAGCGTTGATGAACAAATCCATCTCTTCTTGCTTTTTTCGTTTCATAGCCACCTTCCGGCATGAAAAAGCAGCTTCAACCAAAGTTAGAATTGGGCTTTACTTTGGGAGCCTCTTCAGAGAGAATAGTCCGCTAAGGTCTATATCTTCGATTCTTCTGTGCCCGGGAGCATTGTCAAAATTGCAAAATCCACCAGCATCGTTCCCTTCGTCAAGTATAATTTTTCCATATAGAACCTCGAAAAAGTATTTGAAAATTTTCTTCTTCATTCCACCTTGAATTACCTGATAATACAAAAAACATAATAAAACTATCCAAATAATGCATAATTTAATCGTTTTCGTGTTATTATTGACGATTCTATTAATTGTTTCTATCAGTTAGCCCTGATAGTTCTGAAAGTAGACATTTTTTGGTTTTTCTACACTTGGACCCATTATGCACTTGGTCCATTCTGCTTATTGCTCCGCCTCCCCGAATTTTATATGCGTGGCAAATAATCCGCACACATAAAAGTTCTAACTTGAATTGAGGCAAGCTAATTGGTCTTATTAATTCCATAATTGACTCAAATTTTAGCGCTATGATATTATAAGCCTAAAATTGAAACTATGTCAAAATTTCATTTTCCAAAAACTATTCGAGACTAATAAATGGGCAGTCAGAACATTCAGGGATTTGCCTTGATACGAGCAGTCTTGTTATCAAATAAGCACCACCGATTCTTCTGGCTAGTTTTTATTTTTCCGAATTTCGATACGAAAGTAACGGAATATTTGTGACCGGGGTGGTTTTTATTTCTTCAAACAAATTTCGACTTTTCAACTAGCCATTTTTGACGTAATTTTTTTTTACATCATTCAACAGGTAGTGTTGTCCTGAGCTTAATTTTGAAAAAATATTTCACCTTTGATCACTTTCCGTAAAAATATGAGGGTTTGAAGATTGCCATTTTGGCCAATTTGGGACAATTAACGCGCGATATATTTCGCGCTATTAAAGCGTAAGTGGAGATTTAATCCGTCCAAGAATTCGTTCCAAAATGGTTGAAAGAAGCTTATTTGCCATAATTGATTTGTTATAAGGAGCGAAACCTATTCTTTTGTAATTTTATAAGGCGTGTGGCGGGTTAGTTTTGATAGAAAAAAAATCATTTCTTAATTACATTTAATTTGCTAATGATATTTAAGTTATTACTGCTCCACGAATCTTAAAAAGCAGTCGGAACATTCAGAGTTTCGCCCTGATACGCGCAGTTTTGTTGTAGTTTCATAATCAAAAGTTTTCCAAATATTTATCTCGCAATGCGTCCATCATATGTCATTGTTGCTTCGCGAAAAGTTTAATTTATCCAGAGATCGCTTAGATTTTATCAAAATGCTGTGCTTTTATGTGAAATATCCATTGTTATTGCAGTAGTTAGCCTGAAAGAGCCTCAAAATCTCAGTTTACATTAGAATTGAGGATAAAATGAGAGAGACTAATTCAACTTCCAATACTTATGGAGGACAAGATTATAAAACAAATTTAAAAAATTTCTACTGAATTCATAAAAAGTAAGCACTTGTAAAAGCTAATTGATGAAACAATCAGCTTTCAAGAAAAAGTTAATGCCTTTTCAAATACCAATAGCAAAAAATAAGGATCACGAAACAAATAAAATCTACTGGTGTCAGGACGAATGCTCCAACAGTTTCGACTTCTAAGGTTTATGGAGCAGTAATAACATAAAAAAATAAATGTAATAAAATAAAATGAAAAATTTTCTTTCTAAAAATTGAAATTTTTTAAATGAAAATCAACACCCCGCACGCCCAATTAAGTTCAAAAGAATAGACTCCGCTCCTTGTAACAAATTAGTTATTGCAAATAAGTTACTTTCAACCAATTTGGAGCGATTTCTAAGACGGATTTAACCTCCGCTTACGCATTAATAGCGCGCGTTAATTGTCCCAAATTGGCCAAAATGGTAATTTTTAAACCCGCAACTTAACAAAAAATGATCACAGTTGAAATATCTTTTCAAGTTTAGGCCCAGGAAAACGATACATTTTAAATGTTAAAAAAATCCGTTAAAAATGGCTAGTCAAAAAGACAAAACTTGTCTGAAGAAAAAAAACCCAGCCGAGCACAAATATTCCGTTACTTTCGTATCGAAAATCGGAACAAAAATTTATTCGCCATGAAAAATCCAAAAGATTTCTTGCTGTTGTTATAATCATCTTTATGCACAAGATGAAAGTTTTTTTCGAAGACTGATTGATGTTTCAAAACAATCAATTGATTTTAATTTTGCATCGCTGACGAGATCTAAGACTCTATGATAACGAGTCGCTGATTCAAGTTTTGTGCCCGTACTGAAGTTTTTTTTTAAATTCCAGACCTGACCATTTAACTTACATTTCTGATTCTAGAACAGTTCTGATCGCATCTATGACAGGAGTGCACTGGAGTGAAATTATATGAACAGCTGCAGATCTGGACCAGATCTGGCAGACGCGTGATTAGACTTGGCAGACACGTAATCAGATCTGTCGGGCACGTAATTAGATCTCAGTAACACGTTTATAGCTAAAAGGGGAAAACATAAATACTTTCAAAAGCTTTTTTGTGAGCATGCTAAACCGAATAACCTCAGAATAGTTTTGTAACAAAACTTACATTTTATATCCTTTTCACCCATTTATCGAAAATAAACAAAACTTGTACGAAAAGCTTTTCTGCATACGCTTAATATATGGAATTGTATGATAAGCATTTTTGGTGTATGAAGTCAATTCTGGTGTTTTGTGGCACGACATAGTGCTAAAAAAACAGGTTTTTTCTTATCTTTTAATAGACTCTATATTATTCTGTCTTAGGAGGATAAATCCACTAAAGGAAAAACTTCGAAATTTTTAGCCCAAGACGGACTATGCGATTTTATGAATTTGTTAAATACAAGAAAACGGTAGCATGATTATGAAAACAAAGCATCGTTGTTTTTGAGTAAAATTTTTGTTAAAGTTATGTTTGTGAAACTTCGGCGGCGATTCGTAAATGTGATGAAGTATTGTCAAAATACGCTGTTATCTTGTATCTTTTATAATCCTCTGATCCACACCAAACATAACAGTCTTATATCAACAATTTGACCTGAAAGTTACTGAGATTTAGGTCAGCGCGATATATGAGGTCACCATAGGTGTTGACGTCACATGATGAAGATTTGATCTTGATTTGGCAAATTTGATTTTTTTTTGGTTGGTCTTCAACCAGATCTGCTGTCGCGTCTGTCAGATCTGGTAATGTGTATGCCAGATCTAATCATGTGTCTGCTAGATCTATCATGTGTGTGCCTGATTTAAAGGTGTTCAGACATGATTTTTTTAAAGAACTTTAGCACGGGTGGTAGTCAGAAATCAAACTGTTGCTTAATTTCAAACAGAAAGACTTCTGTTGCTCTTGCAATATTTGAACTACAAAAATTGTTGGTCATTGTTCGCGCGGCAAAACTTATACAAAAAATTATTTCAGTTCAATTGGAAAGCTCCTTCAGGAAGTTCAAGGTAACGTAGCCAATTAAAGCTAGGTTACAGATCAGTCAAGAATGAGGGAATCTAAACAAAAACTTCCCAATAACTTAATCTTTGGAATTTCAGTTTCATATTTTCCCAAAATTTTTAAGTAAAAGCTATCAAAGTTTTAATTACGAAGAGATGATGAAAACTAAATCTTCTTGTTACAGAAAAACTGAAAAGCATAACTTGGAAAAATTATAAATCATAAAATGGAATTAGCCGCCAAAGAACATTTTTTGACCTTTGAAATAAATGTTTCTTGATTTAAAAAATTTTTAGATTGCTTTTAAAAAAACACGCTGGCAATTTTTGAGTAATCGTTTTGGGTTTGAGGTCAAAACGAGGTCAAACTGTGTATTTTGAGAATTGTAAGCAAAGAAAGCCTTCACGTTGTTCTTCTTTTGGCCTTTCATTTTCTTTGATCGTTCCGACAAATTTTTAACATGTTTAAAAATTTTGTTTCTGCATTCCAGAGACATGCAAATACTAAGTTGTGTGCCTATTCAGTGCACATTTTGGCCTCGTAATGCGGAACATCAAGAAGGCAAAACATTAGCATGGCATTTTTGTTTTCATTATTATCCGAGGTACAGAAATCACATCTTTAAGGCTTGCAAATTTCAGAGAACATTGTCTTCACTATTTGCAGAATAATTATTTAAAAAGAAGATGACACGGTTTAAATGATCCAAGCCAAAGTAATTTGGCTATTTGGGATATTAACGGGCGGTATACTTGGTGCTTTATACGCGTGAACGTTGATTTAATAAGACTCAGAAATTTTTTTACTTTGACTTGAGGCATGCTAGTTATTGCTTCGACTTTTGAAAAAAGTTACGGAATATTTGTGCTCGGGGTGATACTTGTAAAACAAAATTGGAATACTTTTCTAGCAATTTTTGACGCAGTTTTCTGAAAAATCATTCAAAAAATTTGGTTCTCTTGAGCTCAAACTTAAAAAAAAAATTTCAATTATCATTTTTGTTAAGTTAAGGAGGTTTAAAGATAGCCGAACTGGCCAACCTGAAATTATTAACGCTAGACATTTTTTGTGCAAAAAACGCGTAAGCGGAGTTTTATTTCGTGTCAGATAATGCTCCAAGTTGAATTGAGCATGCTATTTGGTCAATCTATAACTTCGCTAATTGCATTTAACTTACTGTCGAAAGTGATTTAAAAAAACCGAAAAAAATTCTAAATTTTAAAAGCGAACAGTACTCCATAGACCCTAGAAGCATTGGGAACATGTAGGTTTACCTAGCCATGACACGAGGAGTTTTTTTCTAATTTATAAGATACTATCACGATAAATAGCGTGTGGGAAAATGACTTTCAAAAAAACTCGACACTACTCCGTAGACATTAAAGGGCAGTTTTTATCCAGCGAGTCGTCATGGTACTAGCAGTCTTGTGAAAAGTTATTGCCTATAACGAAGTTTTGAGTTGCGTCGCTTGTTATGAAATATGACCTGACATGTAATGTCACAGGGGCGGATTTAGGGGGGGGGGGCGGAAGTTCCCCTCAAGGATTCGACCCCCTGCCGACCCAAAGGGTCATCCCTTTGTACTATTTTGAGATATCCATATTTGGTGACGGACCCTAAAAATGTTCTGAAGGCGCCTTTACAAATTTTAAGGGGGGAGCGTGCACTGAAAAAACGCAATTTTTGGTCAAAATTTTCCAAAAAGTGCTTAAAAACGCCTTTTTTAAAAAAATAAAAAATTGCCTGCGGCGCAGAAAATTTGGCCTATTTACGGTCTTTATAGTGGTTTAGCAGATCTTAGAAAATCTGTTTTGTCGACCTAAGAAAAAAGATTTTTGAAAATGCGCCCCGCCCCCCTCGAGAAATTCCTAGATCCGTGCCTGGTCCACTTGATTTTTCATGGTTGATTTCAGGGGCGGAACTTTGTATTTTTTTTGAAATCAAGAAATCAACTTGATTTCTTGATTTCAAAAAAAAACTACAAAGTTCCACCGCAATTTCAATAGCCCTAACAATTACAGGCAGGTAGTTGAGGTTACTGTTTTCAGCTCAGACCGTGGAATTTTAAATTATGAGGACCATTGACCCGCTCAGCTCAAAATATAAGTTTATGAAAACCATTTACGAAAAATTAGATGATCATCAAAATATTATTTTTTTTTGCTTCGGTCAAGCTCTGATTTGAAATAATTTATACGAAAAATCGACAAAACTTTCTAGATTAGTTACAGAATCTTTTTTGCTATAATTTTATATGCTGAATGATATATACACTATATGAAACAGGCGCGGATATAGGAATTTCTTGAGGGGGGCGGTGCGGACTTTCAAAAAAAATTTTGTCGACCTTTTTTTAGGTCGACCACATAGATTTTCTACGAATATGAAATGTCACCGTCGCAAATTGGGCATGCTTTTTTATGGCCGTATAATTTTAGACCTCAAAATAAAACCAAACCTATAGCTATAGATAATTGCAGCTTGATGCATATTTGTACAGTTGAATTAAATTTGATTTCTTTTGGACGGCGACTAAAATGTTTATTTGTCCTCACCAATCATTCTTCGTGTAAAATATATTTATAAAATGGTGTTTGAAACGCAAACATATAATATACGATGCAACAACACAGGACTATGAACGCAACGATCATTTTTTATTTAATTGTTCAAAGCTCACAGCAAATTTATTTGACGTTTCAACGCTCATTTTACGGTAGCATATGGGATTTTCCCATAAATTAATTATAATTAAAAAATTACAGTTGTAGAGTTGACAATTGCACAATTGCACAATTGTATATACATTGAATTATTCGTCAAAATTATGCGAACTTATTTTTATCCTCAGCCGTGCGACCATACCCGCATTGAAGTTTCAAGATTAAGATTATATCCACCATTTATATTGGATTGTTTCATGAACTTCACTTGTGTCAATTGTAACAGTTTGCAATTTCGATCCAAAACTGATGGTTGGCTGCCAGTATATGAACGACTTGTCGCGTCAATTTTTTACAAAAAATTTGTAGAATGTACAATATTAAAGGACCAATTTAACATCAAATTTAACATCCGCCACCCGTCAGCAGTTCCATTTAAATTTTCACTCCTCTCTTTATAGTTTTTGATTCCATTAAAAATGATTGTTAAATTTTGTCAAAATAGATAGCCCGGGCTGATGTCCGTTTTCAGTTTTTTGAGTCGAACGATGACCGTTGTTGATTCTTTCGAGTCGAACGATGTCATTTTTTGACTTTGTTTGACTTTGTTCGAATTTGTTTGTCTTTGTTCGGCATTACCGGAAATGTTCGACTTAGTTCAAAAATGTTCGAATTTACCGGTCATTTTTAGTCTCTGTTCCAATTTTTTTTTAATTTTTACCAAAAATTGGTCGAATTTGTTCGAAATACCTGACTTTGTACAATAAAAAGATCAATTTTGTTCAAAAGTGTCGGCTCTCGATATCTTCCAAGATAAATTGCCACGGTCTCATTGGGATAAATTGCTCTTTGTCGACTGCTCGACTGCTCTTTTCACTGGATGCGAATAGCGTTTTGGCTACAAAAAATAGTAAGTAATAAATGTTCAAAGTTTCCCCAACAGCCACATTATAATAGTAAGTTTCACAAACTTAAGGATTGATTCATATAAGGAAATAATAAAATTAATCAGCTAGCCTGAAATCAAATTGGAATCGAGCTACGCTTAGAACAATCTAGCTTACGCTTTCATTGGGTTAAACAAACTCTCGCATAACCTCATCCAGAAAAAAACTTCTTTGAAAAATATTAATAATTCTCGCGCTATTCTTATCAATAAGTTGCTAACCTCAAATCATTTTAGAATGACCTTAAGCACGGCATGAATAGCCACACTTTATTTTGAAATCCGCATTAAGCTCTCATCGGGAAAAATAGACGCGCGCATAGATTAATCCAGATTTAATATTCATTGAAAGCTATTTATTGTTCCGACTTTCGATTCGAAAGTAACGGAATATTTGTGCTCGGGGTGGGTTTTTTTTCTTCAGACAAATTTCGACTTTTTAACTAGCCATTTTTTGACTGAATTTTTAAATATCATTCGAAAGCTATTGTATTCCTGAGCTCAAATTTGAAAAGATATTTTACCTGTGATCATTTTTCGTTAAGTTATGGGGGTTTAAAGATTGCCAACTTGGGACAATTAACGCGCGATATATTTCGCGCTATTTACGCGTAAGCGGAGAGTCAATCCGTCTTAGAAATCGTTCCAAGTTGGTTAAAAGAAGCTTATTTGCCATAATTGGTTCGTAACAAGGAGCGAAATCTATCTTTTTGTACTTTATATGGCGTGTGGGGGGATGATTTCATAAAAAAATTTCAAATTTTAGGAAATTTTTTTTTGAATTTAGATATCTGTTCCTAAACTAACACGAACAGTTCAATGATCGACCACTGATTGAATACTGATAGTGTTGACTGGTGTCTAATCAAAACCGAAGGTCAAAAAAATTGAGTGTTCAAGTGAATTACAATATTATGATATGCGTTCTGCATGTATATCAGAAAAACTTGTGAGTACATGTTAACATACTGCTTCAAAACCTGCATATTGATTGACGTTTTCGTTTTTACTGGTTTCAAACAGAACTCTTCTTTTTTCCAGTTTTCTACACAAGACCATAGAGTTTGCATCTACTTTAAAATCTAGAAAATTCGGATCAATCAAAAGCACTCCAAGTTTTAAAACTTTGTATAGTACCTTGGATAACTTTCAAGCTCATAGATAAAGCGTTTTTTGTTTTCCAACATATAACAGAAAGTTTTGTTCAACACAAACCTCGAGTAAGTTTGGAACGTTCCACTTGCAGTCCTTAAGCGGCTCTTTTTATCTTCAACGCAAAGGTAAACTATTCGAAATTTGAATTTTGAATGCCATTTTATTGTGAGGTTGGGTAAGCGAGGAGTTGTAAGCGGCTAAGGAGGAGGTGTAAGAGATGGGCGAGGGATGTCATACGCTGTATGGACGGGGCAATGGACGTAAATACGATCAGGGAGAATAAAGTAGAATCAGCAAAAATTAAGGAACTAGAAACTTACAGGGGGTCTTTTTACTTATTCCGCCCAAAAATCAATATTTTAACATCTTGAATTGTAGCTACATTGCTTCAATCGGATTGGCTAGAATTAGCAAATTAAATTTCAGCATCTCAAATTTTTTTGTTCACAGTAATAAGTCAACTCGTAAATAGCCAACTTAGCCAACTAAGCCAACTTAGCCAAAAATGTAGAATGTTTAGCTAACTGTTCAAATTTTATGCAGACCAGCAAAAACAACACACGGCAACCACAAAAAAAAATTCCAAGAAAAAATGACCACTTTTATGACTCTGCTTAAAGTTTGCCTTGTTAGAAATCGGCCAATGTGATTGCAATTGCATTAAGTAAACCAATCACTGCGATCAGTGTACTTGTTTTCTGCATTCTTACATTGAGAAACATAAAATCGCAAAATAGAGAAATTTGGGCAGAATAAGTAAAAAGATCCCTTTCAGGAATGCTCGTTTTATCTGATGAAGCTTTGATTTTAATCGATTAAGACTGATTTTTTGATTTCACAAAAACTAAATTATAGTTAACAAAAACTAAATAAAATATTTTTGATCAAATTTGAGTTTTACAGAGATGACATTGAAAAACCAAATTGATTATTATCATCCATTAAAGTCCATTGCAGGCCAGTCGAGGTACAAAAAAATTTGTGGTAAAGTTTTTGGTGGTTTTAAAACTAACCGGTGTACAAGCCAGCTAAAATAAAATTGACTGCTAAATTTCCATGGTTTAAAACCAAGCGCGATTTATTTTCGATGCGTTTGACTAGATTGTTATCATGGTCAAGTCTCGTTATATGTCTTTGAAATTTTCGAGTTGAAGAAGAATGAATTGTTTTAAAGACCGATTCAGTAGACTTGAGTGTTGGTATGGTGCTGCAACTGCAGATTTAGTATCAAAAACATTCAGTTCAATTATTTTTTTGACTCTGCACCAGATTTAATTGCCAGCAAATATTTTCTTCCAGCAAAGTCGATTCAATTGCGTCAAATTATATTCCGATGAAAAGCTTTAGATCAATCTAAGATTTATCTTCTGTTGATTTATATGTGCTCTACTTAGTGTTTTTACTTTTAGGCTTCTAGTTATTATAAAGTATTGTCATAAAATTGTTCGCTAAAAAAATTGAGACAAAAATTTTTTATTTTCTTTGAATTTATTATTTAGCATTTGTACTAAAATGAAGAAAACGTACAAAGGAAGGTGAGTAATGTCTCTGGTTGACAAAAACGTCTCTCGGAATGGTCATGCAGTTCAAACCAAATGCTGTCACAGTAGTGGTTTAAGCATTTCCAGCACTGCATCAGAGTCTAAACAGCAAAATAAGTCTGATCAACCATAAAATAAGAGCTAATGATCCCAGTGCTGTAGCAGTTCTGAATGATCAAAAAAACATCGCTGAACTTTTGCAATATGAGAGATTTTGATTTATGGATTAACTGCTGCCTTCCCGAGCCCGATCCTACGGTCGGTCGGTCGCATCCAGACCCCCCCCCCCCGCACCGGAGATCCAGGGATAACAATCGATTAAAATGGAAAAACGTTGTCTTAAATGTTGTCATTATAATCCATTATTGTTGCAAATTTAGACCAGGTTTTCGATTATGTGGTCATTAAAATCGATTATTTTCGAAAAATACAAATCCATTGTAATCCATCATCATTCATTATAATTAATTTTTTTCACTTATAAACGATTATTTTGTCAAGAAAATCCAATAAAATGTATTGTTTTATTTTTGATAATTAGGCTATTCTTTTTTTCTAAGTATGTCTGGAAGAAAAAAGCAAGTTTAAAGATGTAAATTACATAATTTTCCTATAGCATGCATATATAGAACAACATACATAAAACTGAAAGCACAACTTACATGTTTATTTACGACTCAAAAAACTGATTCTATGCTTTTAATAGTCCTTTGCTTTTACAGCAATTCCTTTGACGAATTATTCATATCAGGTTCATCTTCAATTTATTTTCATGGTCTCCCATTGAAGACCGCTCCCTGTGAATACTTCTACAGAACCAGTGACCTCAGCGGGCATTGGGTCGGAAAAACAGTGAGTTCATTGGGAATCGGGTAGGAGATTTAGTGGGCATCGGGAGGGAGAAAGGGTGAACTCAGAGGGCATTGGGTGGGAGAAGCAGTGACGTCAGCGGGCATCGTGTAGGAGAAAGGGTGACCACAGCGGGCATCGAGTGGGAGAACCAGTGACCTCAGCGGGCATCGGGTAGGAGAACCAGTGACCTCAGCGGGCATCGTGTGAGAGAACCAGTGACCTCAGCGGGCATCGTGTAGGAGAACCAGTGACCTCAGCGGGAATCGTGTAGGAGAAAGGGTGACCACAGCGGGCATCGGGTGGGAGAATCAGTGACCGCAGCAGGTATCGGGTAGGAGAACCAGTGACCTCAGCGGGCATCGTGTAGGAGAAAGGGTGACCACAGCGGGAACCGGTTGGGAGAACCAGTGACCTCAGCGGGCATCGGGTAAGAGAACCAAAGACCTCAGCGGGCATCGGGTAGGAGAACCAGTGCTCTCAGCGGGCATTGTGTAGGAGAACCAGTGACCTCAGCCGGCATCGTGTAGGAGAACCAGTGACCTCAGCGGGCATCGTGTAGGAGAAAGGGTGACCACGGCGGGCATCGGGTGGTAGAATCAGTGACCACAGCGGGCATCGGGTGGGAGAACCAGCGACCTCAGCGGGCATCGGGTAGGAGAACCAGTGACCTCAGCGGTAATCGGGTAGCAGAACCAGTGACCTCAGTGGGCATCAGATAAGAGAGCCAGTGAGGGCAGTTCGGGTCCAATCTGCGAATCATAAAAACAATCACAGAAACAGGAACACACACACACATAGGGGCACACATACAGACACACCTAGGGGCACACAAACAGATACACAACATAGGGGCACACATATACACAAATTTTGGGGCTTAGATACACACATAAGGGCAAACATAATCGCACACGTAGCAACACATATACAGACATACATAATTGATTAACAATGGATATTTTCAACAAAAACATGTTTCAATTTCTTTCAAAAGAGTCAATTATAATCGATTATAATCTATTATAATTGGATGTTATTGATTAGAAAAATAGTATCATTATAATCTTTTTTTTTAAATCGATTATAATCGATTTTTTTGAATTTTTTTAGACCGACCATGATAATTCAAAATAATTGGTTAAAATCCATGGAACACCGTTGCATGCATATCCCTGTTTTGTTTCCACGCCACCGTTAGTAACACGAATTAGGTTCGAGTGTTTGAACAATTCTGCAGTTCCAAAACAAAGATGTTCTAATGCATGACCAGCACTGAAATGCACTGCGACCTCAATCCGGGCTATCAAAAATTTCGAAACAAGGAAAGAAAGGCTTATCAATTTATTTGCCACTCCATACACTTCCAAAAACAAAACAAAACTGTATGAAAACGTATGACAAACATTTTTCATGTGG